TCTGGTTTGTTTTGGGGGAAGTGGGATTGTTGATCTTTTTAGGGTGGATAGGGGAGGATTTTTCTTTTGGGGGGGAGGGGGGGTCTTTTTCGGGGACTTGAATTGTTGCCGAATATTGCAAAGTTAAAAGGATATAATGAGTTAATGTGGTATTTACTATAGGTGAAATATTCAGTATAACAAAATAAAAATGGAGTCCATTTTTTAAACAATAATTTGAGTAAACATTGAGAATTACAATGTGGATTGACCTCCTCCTCATCATCATCATCATCCTTATCACCATCATCACCATCATCACCACCACCACCGTCATCAACACCATCCTAATCCTACAATAATTCTTCACCCACTCTGCATCATTCCCTCTTCCCCCTCCCCAGGAAGCCGTGTCGAACCGTATGTTCAATGAACCCATCCTTGTGCGCCTTGTGGTGCATCCCGACGAACCGGCCCCGATCTTCCGACTCTTCTTCTACGACACTTCCTACCCCGTCACCTACTAGAGCACATCAGGTGTCGAACTCAAGGCCGCCCGTGGGGACAGGGCTTCTGGAATTGGCCGGGAGAACAAATTTAACTCTTTCACTACCACAAGCTTTGTTTCGCGGCCCATATAAATAACCCCCCGCGCCGGACAGCACGTCTTGTTTCACGGCTCTCCACATTCTGTCTCAAAACCTCACCTACTTTTGTAATAATTGAATCTGAAATCTCAGGCTGAGGCTGACAAATTATTGTTTTTAGCTACCTGTTGTGATAGGTCATTATTTTCCCTTTATTTCGGAATGTAACACATCATGTGGCTAATGTTGAAAATTGAGCGGAAAAATTTTTTAATTTGTCCGAGGGTAGACAGAATCAGAACGTAGGTCACAGATAGGGCCCGGTCCAGGTGAGGAAACCCCCCCCCCCCCCCCAGTACTGAAAGAGTTAATCTGGCATCCGGCCCACGAGAGAATTTTAGGTTGTCCATCTTGAGATTCTTCAAAGATCCACTCCAAAACATTAAATTTTAATTTGAGGCGTGCTGACAAAATGAGTTTTAGTTCTTGGATTTTAGCCCCCTACGGAAATAGCTATGTTAAATTTATAGGTTGAGTTTGTATAAAATGATTTATTAGTTTGTAATAATAAAAGACGTGGTTAATTTGAAAAAAGGTGTACAAGTTGAAAATGTACTAATTGAGCCCTGTGTCCATTTTCGGCAATACAAACTTGTTACCAAGAAAGGAAGCCAATCATCCTGCTCAGACACAAAATATAGTTATTATTATTCGCATAAGATCTAAAGAGCGAAAAAATGTTTTGCCTTGATATTGTAATGTTTTAAACTTTGATCTGTTTCAATTCATAATATCATTGATTTTAAATTAAAGAAAGGCTTAGTTTTCTACTTGACTTCTCATTGAGAGTTTATCTATTTCAGATCGCCACCTTAAGTGGGGGTTCAGCTTGGCCTCATGGGTGAGTGAGTGAGTTTGATATCCGTGCTCAACATACGGAGACTGTTAAGAAATCAGTCATCATTAACATTGCTTGTTCTTTTACTCTGTGTGTGTTTTATTTATTTTGTTTTGTTTTGTGGGTTGGTTGTCTTTTTTCTCATGTTTTATGATTTGTTTCGGTCTAATTTTTTTTTTGTATGTGCTTTTAAAATTCAAAACGTGTTTCTTTCTTTCATTGTGTTATAAATAGAAATAATGTTATGACGTATGTTTTACTGCCAATTTGGAGTTTCATTTATTCATTTTCTGTCTGATTTGGTACTGGAATCGTGTGTAAGGGAGTTATGCTGCTATGTGTGTGTGGTGTGTGTGTGATGTGTGGGTGTGTGTGTGTGTGTATGTGTAAGTGTGTGTGTGTTTGTGTGTAAATGAAGATGTGCCGTCTGTATATTTTTAAGAATACTGCAAAACAAACTTAATCGAAATTAATTGGGTTTTTCTTCCCCGACTCATGAAGTATAGTAGATGTCTTTAAGAAAAGTATACTTTGGTCATTAATGTTAGGTCTGCTGTGTAAATTAATTCATATTTTAAACGTTATTTAATGCGTGTAAACTTGTTTGCTGTCAATAACCTTACAAACGCCTAATTCTTTCAGTTTTGTAAACGTATATTTAATGTGTGTTGGTGGGACTGTTATATAATACAACTCTCCTCCTCTCTCTCTCTCTCTCTGCTGACTCTTTCAGTTTCTCTCTCCGTCTCTCTCTTTCTCTCTCTCTCTCTCTCTCTCTCTCTCTCTCTCTCTCTCTCTCTCTCTCTCACTGTGTCTCTCTCTGTAGAAGAACTTCCCCCCCTCCTCCCCTCCTCCTTGCCACTCCCTTCCTTTTTCCTCTTTCCTCACCCTGGCCAAAGTTTTCCTTTGAGATATTTCTCCCCTAATATGCTTTCGACATGGCTAGAAATGTATGCATAACCCGATTTTGATAATAATACAATTATTATTACATTAAATAGTCTGTTTCGTTTGTCAACTACTTCGCAACATTCAGCAATAAAACAGTGACGTCACCATAAAACTTTGCCTCCGCTGTGTTCCTTTACTTGATAGAGTGGGTGTTTGGCGGGTGCTCTGGTGTGGTTTGCTCCTTCTTTCCTATCTAACATCTATCATTCTTATAATCTCTCCTCCTTTTTTTGTGTATTACTCTCTAGTTAAATTACACCTTTATTTCTGTCTGTCTGTCGACAAAAATCTATCTATCTATCAATCAATCTATCTATCTATCTATCTTTCTATCTATCTATCTATCTATCTATCTATCTATCTATCTATCTATCTATCTATCAAGTGAGCCCAGGTCAAAAGGTAACAATATGTTCCCATTTTTTAGAATGGCTTACTGAACACTAACATTAATTCTTAAGTGTACAATATTCTCTCTCTCTCTCTCTCTCTCTCTCTCTCTCTCTCTCTCTCTCTCTCTCTCCCTCCCTCCCCCCCATTCTCTTCCCCCTCAACTTCCCCCTCTCTCTGCTCCATCTCTAACCAACCAACCCATCTGCCCCTCTTTACAATATAAAAACTCACCATTACACCTCTTGGGTGGTTGGCGGGTGCTCTGGTGTGATTTGCTCCTTCTTTCCTATTAAAAAAATGTATCGTCTCTATCTCCCCTCCTTCTTTTTTGTGTGTTTGTTACTCTCTTGTAACACCTCTAATCTTTGGCACTTATAATATTATAAATGACCTTAGTGTGTTGCAAGTGCCGTAAAACATTAACTAAAACTAAAACTATCTCACTCAATCTTTTTCTTGTTATCTCTCCCTCTGTCTCTGTGAATGTCTGTCTGTCTGTCTGTCTGTCTGTCTGTCTGTCTGTCTCTCTCTCTCTCCCTCTCTCTCTCTCTCTCTCTC